GCTGCTGCTACTGCTGCTGCTACTGCTGCTGCTACTGCTGCTGCTACTGCTGCTGCTGCTGCTGCTGCTACTACTACTGCTGCTACTGCTGCTACTGATATTTCTCATGCCGCTTCTGCTGCTACCACTACTGAACATACTCGTTGTCTGTTTGTACAGTAATAAAATACGATTTATTACATAAAGGATATACATACATATAGAATGTTTCAAAACATTTCTATGCAATAGAAGTGTTGGCACAGTCATTAAGCCAACATCTGACCATCGCTTGATGGCGTACTCAACATAAAACATCTGAACATGACATGCCGTCAAAGACATCATTCTCAAAGATAAACCGATCACATTTGAATGCAGTCATGGTACGATCACTCTTCTACGCATAAAACATCTGAACAAGACATGTTTTCGTTCGTGCTTATCCTCTTGTATTGTCACAAAATAGCCAAATCCACCGACCGTTTGACAGCATTCAAAAACAGGTGTGTGCATGTGCGTGTGTGTGCGTGCGTGCGTGTGTGTGTCTGTGTATGTATACATGTGTGTGCGTGCGTGTGTGTGTCTGTGTATGTATGCGTGCGTGCGTGCGTGCGTGCGTGCGTGCGTGTTTGTGTCTGTGTATGTATGTGTGCGTGTGCGTGTGTGCGTGCGTGCGTGCGCGTGCGTGCGTGCGTGCGTGCGTGTGTGTGTGTGTGTGTGGGTGCATGCCTGTGTCTGTGGGCTTGTGTGTATGTGTGTGAGTGCATGCCTGTGTCTGTGGGTTTGTGTGTGTGGGTTTGTGTGTGCGTGCGTGCGTGCGTGTGTGCGTACCCCCATGCACGATAATTTAGTTAAACACTCAAGCATGCATGCACGCACAGTCGCACACGCACATATATATATGCCACCCACACCGATTTATGTACATATGCTTTCACGTGTATGCCGCGTTAATTTGCACGTCCTCAATCACGAGTACATGTACAAATGTCCCCATGCACCCGCACTGATTGCCGGTTACACGTACATGTACATGTCCCCACTCACATGGATTTATTCATGTATTTCGCTACCCACACTGATTCATGTACGTTTATCCCCCCCCCACCTCCCCTCACACTGAGTTATGCTTCCAGCCCGCATGAATTCGGCGATTTAGGCATGTTTCGCGCATGTTTTACACACTCTCGCTACTGGGGTTGCGCCTCGCCTGGGTTAGCAATCATGTAATCAGTGTCATCATGTTTCTCCAACCTTCTCTCTGCTATATTTCCACCCCCTCCCCCTCCTCCACACACACACACCGCGTATTTGCTGCCTTCTGCAGCTGACCTGTGCTAGGTGTTAATTATCTTTCAAACACTTCGTCAGGTAACGTTGGAGAAGCAGCCATAGCGAGGTAATTGCATAGGTAATTGCATAGGTAATAGCCGACATGCAGCCCGCGCGTACTGCTGCTGCTGCTGCTGCTGCTGCTGCTGCTGCTGCTGCTG